CTTCAGCATTGATTAGAAATGTGGTTCTACAGGAAGATGCTGAGGATACCATGAACTGAACACGTGTGCAATGACAAGAAAAATGGAAACAAAGGAAACATACTTAACAGCAGGAAGAGACAGTTGAAATTTTGGGACATGTAATGAAAAAAGAGGGCTTGGAAAATCTGATACTCACAGGGTAGATTGAAGGAAAGAGTGACAGAAGAAAGTAGCATGTAACATACTTGATAAGCTTGAGCAAATGGATTGTAGAACAGTGTTTTGGAGAAATAACAAAAAGACAAAACTTATTAAGATCTACAAGGGACAGGAAGATAATTTTTTTTTTCTCCCTTATTTAAAGGAAGATTCTGTTCCACTGGGCTTAGGGTAGAAAGATTAATGATATGAGCATGGTTGCTGTAAAGCTGAAGCAACATGAAGATGACACAAGACTTTCTAAACTCAATAATTGCTTTATTCAAACTAACACTCACTCAGTTTGCTCCCAGAATTCCCTAGTGGGTCCGGAAGTACTTGCAAATCATTGTCATCATCATTATTGAAGTTATAGAATAGATCCTTTTATCAATTTGTAGAGATAGTCAGCCTTGGCAAGAGAATTTTTCTGAATCTTTTAGCAATGATACTAGTTTATTTGTTTCTTCCTTTACATGAGGCATGGCAGAGTAATGGATAGTGGCTCAGATTGAAGAATCAGAGAGCTGAGTTCGAATACCAGTTGAATCCATTACATTCACTTACGTGCTAATACCCTTGGGAAAGGTATGAATCCTCTTCTTCTCCCCTCAGCTATGGGTAAATAGCAGGACAGACCAGTTTTATAGCCTTGTATAGCAACTGGTCTACCATGAAAGAAATGGCAACCTACTGCAGGAAAAAACTGCCTTGTCAATCATGTATCAAAAGATACATGATTGCCTAAGCGTGTATCATGCATGGCACATAACTGATCTTTACATGAAAAATGTCATGTGCAATTCTGACAATGTTTGTCAATACTATATAGTCATACTAGTCATAGCATTGACTTGCTTTTGGAACTAGAGGATCTTGGAAATTTTGATGTTTCCAGCATTGTGTGTAATTCACCATAAATTGCCAGTGCAAGGGTCTTGTAACCCCCCCTCTAATCTATGATATGGAGCCTCCATTTTACTGCTACATTAAAGTGTTCTGCATAGTTTTAATTATTCTACAACAGCGTTGGTGCAACGGTCTTGTGTCACACTCACACATTCTATGATGTGCTCCTCCTACCAACTCTACTACAACTCCATTTCATTAGTTAGTATTCATATAAAATGCAAATTTTATTTTAATCTAATTATGCACATATAATGGATCATATGCAATATAGGTGAACAACATTATGTATATTTGATATAGTGCTTTTTCAAAATTTAGCACAAGGAAAATAAATTCACAGATTCAAACAAAAAAAGATCCCAGAATGACATCAAAATCTGCAAAAAATTTTTATCCTTTAATAGTCAGTTGTGCTTAGTTTAATTTGTAATGTATACATATATGTAGATACAATAGCACTTATATTTTTTAAAATCCTTTATAATTATATTTGATCTATTTTTTTTTTTAATTATTTCACCCCATGCAAGACAAAGCCACTAAGATGCAAGAGGTTACTGAATGTGAAGGAATATGAGGAAAAAAATAAATAAAAAACATTATTAAAGAGAGAGGACAATAAAAGAACAGATATTCAGAAGACAGAAGATAATGATTGCATTTAAATTTTTGAAGATCAAAGTTGACTGATAAGCCAGAAGAGAGTTTTACAAGTGCGATAGAAGAAACTGTTAGCATAAAACTTATGGTTTACATCTAGCAATTTCAACTGAAAAATGATGAGACCTTGCTACCAATCTAGTACTGTACTTAAATTCATAAAGTTTATTTAACAAAGAGGAAAGTTCATCAGAACGATTACGATGAAAATATTTATAGAAAAGTGTAGTGAAAGAGATAATCAGGTACCTCGGAAAAAAGTTTGTGTTTTGTGTGTGATCTGCCGAAGTAGGATTACCAAAAAGTAGTCAGCAAAAATCTTACAGTGAAGAAAACGGCGACTTACCTCGTCAACCCAAGCGACAGCGTGTCGCATATATTCTGTGACGGAAAAAGAAACAAGTCCGTCACAGGAGTCGCTATAAGAGGATATTGATATGCAAATTACGGAGCATCCTATCCCGGCTGTCGACGAATGAAAAAATAGGTTCTGCCAATAAAAGCAGTTGGTGTTCTCGATTTGGTGGAAGGAAAATTCGGGCATTTTTGGCTACGGCGTTTGTTGGGAGAGTAATCTGCGACAAATTTGCTTTGAGAACGCTTACACTTACAAAAAGGCAAAGGGAAGCTACATTATGGTGGTAGGAAAATGACTCAAGCTGAGAGCCAGGTCAGGACCAATAACATTGTAGATTCTTTGGATTTTAGCAAGAACCTCTAAATACATAGCAGAAGCACCTGACCAGATGTGACAGCAATATTCAATGCATGATGAATGGCAGAATTATAAATGTGTAAGATAGATTCTGGTGAGAAAAATTCTATAGCATGACCCAGCAACCATGTAAACCTACAAACAGGGTCCACCCTCAGTTTTTGACTGAGGGTGAGCAAATCACCATAAAGATGCAAATCCTGTTTACCATATATTTGGTTATCTATATACAGATTTACCTGGCACAGTCTGGTGTGGGGGGGTAGTAGGTAAGTGACTGTTGGAATACCTTCACTGCTATTTCTGTCAGGGCAAACTAACAGATCAAATTTTTCCTTCAGTCAAATCTGACTCTCACAACTGACCATTGTGACTGTGACTCTGCCTATAAAGGCTTATAACCAGAAATTCCTACCTTACAGCTAAGTGGCACATGGTCCAAAAAGTTTTCATGTATTTATTTACTCTATTTCCTTTTTACTACTTCTCTTTTGGGTTTTGCTGTTGGTCATAAAACCGGAGATGCTTCAGAGTTGGATAAACTCATATAGAGTTCACTTTACTATGTGGGTATCCTGATAACATCCAGGGGCCCATTGTGTCAAACTCATACTGGGAGTTATTTATTTTTTTAATCATTTCACCTCTAGTCAGGCAATAAAACCGCTAAGATGCAAGAGTATATTAAGCATGAAAGACACTGAGAGGAGTGAGGACAATAAAAGAACAGGTTTCAAGTAGACAGATGGTGATGATTAATTAAATTTTTGAAGATTGTAGTTTCGCAAGCAAGCAGTGTGGGAGAAGAATCTATTAGCATAGAACTTACAGTTACATCTATCAATTTCCATAGTAAGTAGTATAGTAAAAGAATGAGACCTAGGTGCCAATCTAGTACATGAATTCATGAAGTCAAACTACAAAAGAGAAAAGCTTCTTGGAAATATTATCATGAAAATATTTATAGGTATAAGGTGGTAGGAAAGTGACTGAAGTTAAGATGTCATGTCAGGACTGAAAGGCGGCTTTTGTGAAAATGCAACCATAATTTTTTTTCTCTCTCTTTTTCTAGCAGGATGTTGTCACAAATTTGAAATATATTTAGGGTTGAGCAAAAGTGAAGAACAAAGCGTTAAATTTAAATAGAATAGATTAGAGTTTTAGACAATTTATTTCAATGTTTCTTGTTGTATCTTTATTTTTTTATCAAGTGTTATTTGTTGTTTTTAACAACAAATTTGACACTTACAATTAAAAGAAAATATGGCATTTTTAACTCAATTGGTGTTGGCTAATTTATCTCATTCTCTATTTGTTTTACTAGGGTTTGGTTGATTACAGTGACTGTCATTTTCCCAAAAACTGGCTTCACCCATACCATTAAATTGAATATTCACTTTATTGAATGGTTCACTTCACAGGCTAATCCAAATGGAGAAAATTAAAGGGAGATAACTGTTGGATATGAACATGGTCAGTGCAAGTAAGGATCTCTTGTCCCACCCCAGCCAATGATACATGGACCCCCACTCTACTACATCTCCATTTTCATAAGGTAGAATTCATATAAAATGCAAATTTTATTCTAACCTAATTATGTACAAATTATGCAATATAAGTGAACAATTCAATTAGAAAAATTAAAAATGAATACCATGTATCTAAATACAAATGAGAGACCTGTCATAATAGATCAGCCATCTTAAATAAATGTCATAATAGATCATTCCGTCCTAAATAAATGTCATAATAGATTATTCTATTTTAAATGTCATAATAGATCATTCCATCTTAAATAAATGTCATAATAGATCATTCCATCTTAAATACTAGTTTTATATAGTGTTTTTTGAGACTTAGCATGAGCAAAAAAATTTCACAGATTTAGACAAAAAAAAGACATCAGAATGACGCCAAAATCTGCATAAAAATGTTCATCCTCTAATAATTGTACTTAGTTCACTTTGTAACATATATTAATATAGGTAAAAAAAAACAAATCTTGACAAGATAGTGAGGGTCACAAAGCATTGCTCAGAGGCCCCAATCAGGTTTCAACTCCACAGGTCTTGTTGTCCATGGGTAGATTTTATGAATTTAAGTGCAGTACTAAATTAGCAACAAGATCTCATCGATTTACACTTGACTTGGCTAGAGGTAACCATAAGTTCTTTGTTAAGATTTTCTTTTCTCTCACTTCTCACATGTAGAACTCTCTTTCAGCATTTTGCTTTCCAGTCAAGTCTGATCTTTAAAAATTTAAATTCAATGTCAATTGTTATCTTCTGTCTTCTTAATTCCTGTTCTTTTATCATTCTCAATATTGTTTCTCATATTCTTTCACACTCAGTAACTCCCTGCATCTTAGTGGCTTTGTTTCCTCGCTTGGGGAGAAATGATTTTTAAAGAAAAGAAAAATGAACTATTTGATGAAGTGAAAATTTGGTTTTTGCTTTCAGTTTCTGGGCAAACGATATTTGCTGTTTGGATTGCATCCCATTCTACTGTTGTCTCTTGTGTTTATTGTTTACAGCAAGAAATAGCGTGCACCATAGATCGCGATGGAAGTATAGCTGCTGTTGACATGATTTTAAAAAAAATGCCACTGAGAGACAACTGGGTGGAGGTTTTCTATAGTGCATTAAATGGAAAAGTTATCAACAAGCCAAAACTTGCTCAACTATTTGAGCCATTCATATATAAAGGTAGGTGTTCAGTTTAATATTCACACGTATTCTGATATTTTATGTTTTTTAAAGGCTTGCGGCCATATTATGTTGAAACACCAGTTCTTGGTACTAAGATGTAGTGGGTTACTGAGTGTGAAAGGATCTAAGAAAAAGAAAAACATTTAAGAGAGAAAAAAAAAAAGAACAAGAATCAAGAAGTCTACAATTGACAATGCATTTAAATTTTTCAAGATCAAATTTGACTGGAAAGCAGGAAAACGGTTCATCAAAAAAATCAACCTCATAACCTCTTGTTGGTATTATTATTATTATTCTTATTATTATTATTCTTATTATTATTCTTATTATTATTATGATTTTTATTATTGTTCTTATTATTATGATTTTTATTATTGTTCTTATTATTGTTATATCCTTTATGAGAGTTTGGATATTAATTTTTTTTTTTTCAGACAGAAACTTTGAAGAACGTCTGCGTTTCTCTTTGGAAACTTGTTTAAAGGACATCCCATATTTCCAGACACTGAAAGATTTGCATCCAGATGAGCCACAAAACTGGGAATATTACATACAAAAAAATGGTAAGTTTAAAAAAAAATGTACATCTGTAGAAATCTGCCATCTGTATAATTCGTTGTGTAGTTAGTTTATCTGATGACTATTACCAGTGCTGACATATTTACAACTGTTACCACTGCTGATGTCATTCTCCTACCACCTTATTAGCCTACAACTGCTACCACTGCTGATGTCATTCCCCTACCACCTAACTAGACTACAACTGCTACCACTGCTGATGCCATTCTCCTACCACCTTATTAGCCTAAAACTGCTAGCACTGCTGATGCCATTCTCCTACCACCTTACTAGCCTACAACTACTACCACTGCTGATGTCATTCCCCTACCACCTTATTAGCCTACAACTGCTACCACTGCTGATGTCATTCTCCTACCACCTTACTAGCCTACAACTGCTACCACTGCTGATGTCATTCTCTTACCACCTTACCAGCCTACAACTGCTACCACTTCTGACATAATATTACTGCTTTACTATCATGCAACTGTTACCACCACTGTTGAAGGACAACAATTCTCCTACTAACTTACTATGCTGCAACTGCTACTAATACTGGTCATTCTACTACATTGGTAACCTACAACTGCTTGGTTTTAGTTGTTGACTTGGGACTCTTCATAATGTTATAAATTTCCCATATCTCACTTCCATCAGTTATCACCAGCAGAATGTATTCATTAAACAACTTTCAATTCATTTCGGTTATTGACTTGGGGCTCCTCATGATGTTATAAATTTTTTCAAAAATCCACCCAGCCAAGCACAATCTCCTCTTTTGACCTCTTCTTTCCGAGGTATGCATTTATTCATGATTCAAGTCTAAATGACTTGAAACAAGGTTACTGTTTAGTCAGATTCATTCATTTTGTGTAGTATTTGCCTCCAAATAAAGAACAAGCCAAAGTCAGTGCTATGTCTACATGCAGACTTCTCAAAGAAAAAAAATAATTATAACTTTTTGTAAAGAATGTGTATCTCCATTGTGCATGGAATGCTTCCAACAAGCATCATACTCTTAAAAATATTAAATTTATGTTTATTTAATTGACTTTGATTGTGGCAAGTCCTTTTGTAAATTGGATTGGTGAAAGTACATCCATTTCTAGTTTACGAGTCAGATTTTGGTAGTAGTTGAGAGTGTGGTTACTTTGGACACATGTGCAGCATAAATCTACTGTGTTTTCTTGGCCCTCAAAAAGGGTGGAAAAATGTCTTAAGCAGATGACTGCTTGGCTTCTTCACATGACACACTATGGTCAGTCTGGCTGTCTCCTCCTCTGCTGTCTGTCAGCTGTCTCCTTATATACAATTTTGAAAGGCTCCAGGCTACTTGGTTTCAGATGACATCAAAAGTCTCTTTATTCTTTTGATTAGCCAAAGTTCTTTTATTTATTTTCCAGTGTTACTTTCTTTTTCTTATTTTTTTATAGTGGAAGTTATGTGTGGAGCCTCTCTTATTTTGTAGATTTCTAGTCACAATAACTAGACCCTGGACTACCAAACTTCTGTTTCGCAGCAGTTGTTCAGTCTTTTATTGTTCGCCCATTTTTGATATCAGGGTTGCTTTCTCATTAGTTAAGAGAAAAGTAGAGAGAGAAAAAAAAATGGGTTTTTAAGAAAAGCAAATGCTTTCTTTTAATTTGAATTTTTTTTAATATTTTATTTTTATACATTTGGGCACACTACAAAGACTTTATTTAATATATGGCAGTAGACTGTTCTCATTCCACTGCTCATGTCTTAGAATATCATCTAGTTCTTATTTTTATCTAGTGCTGTTCAGGTATTGTCCACCGGTTTCCATTGAGTGTAAGTACACACTGCTTAATCCAGGGATTGAAATTACAACCGGCAGTTGGAACTCTAATCAGCAGGCAGGTTAGGTTTAAAGCTCCAAGTTCACTACAGCAAATTTTCCTACAAGACAATGGCCTAGTGGATAAAAGCATTGGTTTGTGAATCTGTTGATGTAGTGATAGTGTAAATAATGATAACTCCTCATTCCATAAAGTCAGACAGAAATTATAAAAAACTCCCTTTTTAAAAAAATGAATTTTCTCATTTTTTTTTTACCAGTTTAAGAATTGAATGACAATATGGCACACATTTTTTTGATATTTTTCTTAATATCATATGTTCTTGATACTTGCAGATCTTCCTTCCAAGGCAACACTCAATGATTTCATGGATAATATATATATAAGAAACAAAGACACTTATGAACAAATAAAAAAAGAGATCAAAATAAAACACTCTTTTATCCGACAGGCCACAAGAGAGGGTGACGTCACTGACCAAAAGTCCCTTCCAGTGTCTGAAGTGTCACTTGATACTGATTCTGTCCCTACCCCATCCACTGCTGCTAAAGTTACACCCTCCAAACCCATCGACAAATGTCCACCTGTAGAGTCCAACAGAAAAAATTCAACCCTTACCCCCGCCAGCTCCAATTTCCAGCAGTCCTATCTTCCACCTATGCGTGAGGTGATTTATCAACAGGAGAAAGCCTTCAACAATGTCGTTCTCAGTGAAGCGCAAGACATCAGTACAAAATCTGTTCCGACTACTTTTGCTCCTTCCCATTCTGTTACGGTGGACAAGGGCTCAACCATATCGCTTCCTGTCATACCAGCATCTGGAAGTAGAAAATTTGATGAAAGCAAGAATGTTGTTTCCGAGGTTGAAGACAGAGGACCCAATAACAGCAGCAGGAGCAGTGAAACTAGCTCCCTAACAGAGAATAATGAGGAGAATGCTTTCACATTTCGAAACTTAAGTATTCTTGTCTTAGCAATAGCACTCGGTTTTTGCTTAGGCACCTATTACAGTAGGAAATAATGATACCAGCTTTGCTCAAAATTGTTTTTAGATTTTTTAAAAATTTATAATTGGCATTTTAAAGAAGAAAAAAAATAAGCTCATTCTACTGATAATAATAATAATAATAGTGTTTTCATACCTGTCATTTATGCCACAATGTTTCAGCTATAATGTTCTTCAGTTATATTTATATCCCGGTGTACTTGAGTGTTAACCATTAATTGGACTTATCACGCCAATAGGAACAGTGACCATTTTTGTCTCAATTTTCTTTAGGTCAGGAGTGATTATCAACCAACATAGTTAGAATATTATCCCTATTTTCATTGTATTCAATGCTTTGGACATTTTTTCTCATATTCTTTAACAGTAAGTAACCCCTTGCATCTTAGTGATATGATTGAAAAAAAATCAAATTTAATAGAATTTCTGCTAATAAAGTGATTAATATAAGACTAAAGCGATAATTATTAAAATAGAAGGAAACAACTCACTATAAGACTAGAATGATAATTATTATTAAAATACAAATAAACTGCTCAATATAAGACTAGAGTGATAATTATTATTATGAGCAAACCACTCAAGATAAGACTAGAGCGATAATTATTATTAAAATAGAAGTAAACTGCTCAATATTAGACTTGAGTGATAATAATTATTAAAATAGAAATAAACTGCTCAATAAGACTAGAGCGATAATTAATATTAAAATATAATTAAACTGCTCAATATAAGACTAGTGTAATAATTATTATTATAAGTAAACTGCTCAATATAAGACTAGAGTAATAATTATTATTATAAGTAAACTGCTCAATATAAGACTAGAGTGATAATTATAAGTAAACTGCTCAATATAAGACTAGAGTAATTATTATTATAAGTAAACTGCTCAATATAAGACTAGATTAATAATTATTATTATAAGTAAACTGCTCAATATAAGACTAGAGTGATAATTATAAGTAAACTGCTCAATATAAGACTATAGTAATAATTATTATTCAAATAGAAGCAAAAGTGTTAAATACTTATCAAATGTCAACTTAGGGTTTTGTAAATTTTTAATCCCTCATCAGGATTCTTGAAAAGAATGATTGTATTGACCACAGAAGATCTATTTTATAAACTAGTATTTTTTTAGGCAATAAAGCCACTAAGATGCAAAGGGCTACTGGAAGTGAAAGGTAAGTGCTTTTGTATCTATTTTTCATGCAACAGTGTTTCAACTGATGTTCTTCACCCTTCCTCAGTTATGAGTTTACATCTCTGTGTATATCATCTACTAATTGGGCTCATCCCATCAGTAGGTACTGTTTATAGCTTCCAATTAGTAACATCTCATTTTTGTCTGAATTTCTGAGATTAAATTTTTGATGTGTTAACAGTTATTCTTGAAAGTGTCTATCAAACTTTAGATAAGAATGGTGAAGCTGCAGGCTGTTGCTTTGGATATCTCAAAGGTGTTTGACAGGGTTTGGCATGCTGATCTTCTCCACAAGTTGAAAGGTCATGGTATTTCTGGATGAATTTTTGATCTGATTCAATCTTTATCTAATCGCATAATGAAAATTGTCTTGAACAGCCACTCTTCAAGATCTTTTGCCCAGGGCAGGGCTTTATCCTGGGACCTAAATTATTCCTAATTTTTTTCAATGACCTTCCTGATGTTATCAGTTCTCAATTCTGTATCTATGTTGATGATACAACTGTATACTCCTGGCAGCTGCTCTCAAAAATGAGATAACTAGGGCAAGAAATGGCTTGTTAATTTCAACATCTCCAAAAACAAAACTGTTCTCTTTTAATCATCTTTACCTTCCTTTATCCTGGCTGATTCTAATCTACAGAGAGTGGTTAGTGCACCTTCTCTGCCTGTATCATGTTATTCGTTCATGCATTGAATATTGCTGCAACATCTGGTCTGGTGCTTCTGCTATGTATTTAGAGATCCTTGATAAAAATCCAAAGAAGAATTTGCAATGTTATTGGTCCTGACTTGGAATCTCAGCTTCAGTTACTTTCCTACTGCCATGATGTAGCTTTCCTCTGCCTTTTCTATAAATATCTTCATGGTAATTGTTCTGATGAGCTTTCCTCTTTGGCACCTAAACTTTATGAATTTAGACACAGTTCTAGATTGGCAACAAGGTCTCATCATTTTACAGTTGAAATGGCTATATGTAACCGTAAGTTCTATGCTAACAGTTTCTTCTCTCACATTTTTCCCTTGTGGAATTCTTTCCTGGCTTCTTGCTTTCCAGTCAACTTTGATCTTTAAAAATTAAATGCATTGTTTAATCATTGTTTTTTTCTTCTTAATTACTGTTCTTTTAATGTTCTCTCCCCTTAATAAGGATTTCTTTTTCTCATATTCTTTCACACTCTGTAACTCTTTTTATCTTAGTGGCTTTGTTGCCTTGATGGTCCCGAAATGATATTTAAAACAAATTTTTATACTGAAACTAATGTAGTCTGACTTCCAGTCATAGCAATTTGGCTGTTGTACCCATCATCTTTTTTTTTATTAACTGATATGAGAGATCCCTTTAATATAGACAATGGGATATGAATGGATCTAGATAAATTGCTCGAAATCAATTGCTCGACAGTAAATTGCTCAAAATCAATTGCTTGAAAAGGTAATTTTCTCAAACTATCAATTGCTCGAAGTAATTTCAAAGCTTGAAGCACCACATAAAATGTGTCGTCTCACGACACATCAACGGAGCTGGATATAAAAGGAACCACAACACTCAATTTATTGATGGACTAAAGAGAGAACAAAGTTTACAAGAATTGCAAATAGAGCAATATGTGGGAGGAACGAGTGCAGCTGAGGGCAGAAAAATGTACCATGACTGTGCAATGTGATTAAAGAACATTGTATCAAACTATGACACAACAATGTTGAAGAATATTTAAGAAGTATTTAGAATATTTACTCTATTAGTATTTCATACTAATAGAGTAAATATTAGCAACAATAGTTATATTTTTTTATTTTTTAAATCACGAAGAATAACAGTAATAATAAAAATGTACCCTTTATTTTAAACTATGACAAAAAAGCAATGTAGAAAAAAAAATAAGACCTGCTATATAAATGTACTCATTTTTCAATTTTAACTGTTCAGTTAACAACAATAAAGTTGTATTATTTTATCTTATAGTAAATATTGGAAACAATGTAGTCTTATTTTTTTTTAACCACAGGTTTCGAGCAATCTGCCTTTTGAGAAATTGATAGTTTTAGAAATTATTTTTTGAACAATTGATTTCAAGCAATTTACCAGATACCGATATGAACAATCTACCACATTAGATTTTATAAAGAGTTTGTCTTGACATTTCCAGAAAGTTATCAACTACAAAAGATACCTGAAAAAAAAAGCAGAAAATGCAATGGCTTAAACCTAGAAAATGACCAAGATGAGGATATTCTGTCTCAGATAACACCTTATATTCATGAAAACGTTTTGAATGAGGAAATACACACATTACACAATATTAACAACCCTGTTAATTTCTCCTGTCCAGAAAGCCTTTTGGCCAGTGGTTCCCATGCTAGGCTACCAGAGATATTTTCGAAAACATGATGAAATTATGAACCTTTTACAAGTCATAATCAGAAGAGCCAGTTCACGGGAAACAACTCTTCCACTTCTAGTGACACGTTTATAAAACCATTACCCTATTTTATAATAGGAAAAGTAAGTTCAATTCTTACACACAGATACATTTTTTTTATTTTCAACTTTTTGGAAGTTACTTTTAAAATAAGGTGGGCTAACATGTGCTCTTAAAGAGAAGAAATTTAATTCAAAATTTTGAAGCCTCAGGCTTTCAGGTGTAACTCTATTTGGCAACTCTGACATAATCCATTTGACTAATTAGACAAGTTCAAATCTTGCTAGAGAGCACACATTTCTCAAATATACTTGCCAGTTGACAAAATAAATATACTATTTAATAAATAAACAGAGCATCTACTCAAATATGGATATCCACTAAAAATACTGTTTACTGTTTAACCAGGAAAAAGCAGGTGACCCTGTTGAATATGGGTGAAAAAAAGATGATTGAAAGAATTAGCACACATGCTACATTCTTGTAACCTACTCAGCAGTCCAAGCATGGAAATGAACACGAATTGGTAACATTTGATTAAGAATTTTAAACCAGGTAAAAGAATAGTTATCAGCCCCTGTAAATTGTTGAGAAAGAAGATGATTAAAAGAAATAGGGCACATACAGGACCAACATTATTCATATCTATTATTCAAATGTCCTATAAGGAACTATATTCCTGATGAAAACAAATGCATGAATAATTATGTTGGACATATTATCACTGAATTATCAAAACAGCTGACTCTACATCTGGTCCATAAAGACATTTACGCTTCATTAACCAATTCTCTTTACTTTACACCTTGTCTGTTTGTTTCTAAAAGTTAAAAATAAAGTATGATTCTTTTTTTATCACATTTTCTTTTTGTTATTTGATGGAATTGGAAATGTAATGATTTATTTACTTATAAAAATTACAGAAAAATCATGACATTAATAAATAATATTAAAGTTAATAATGTCTATTTTATTTTAACATCTTTTCAAATATGGTTTTCTACACTTGTTTTTAAATTTTATACTTCGAAATTTATTAAAGATAAATTACCATTATTTTTTCAAAAAAACACTTTTATATTTTTTTCTCTAATATTGTTATTAAATGTTATTCATAAAGAACGAAATGCATTGATAGAATTTTATTTTTATTAATTGTGTTTTTAAAGTAAAATAAACAACAAATAATGTTTTTAGTTTAATTTTTTAAATTTTTTTTTACATTAAACCCTAAAACAAAACCAAATGTCATATTCGTATTACAAAATATTATTAACGATGATGCTCAGTCATTTTTTTTTTATTTACTCAAGTTGAGCACAAAACTAATTTTTGACACAAGAAGGCTGAGATTAAAGTGCATTGTGGATTGCCACTGCAAAAGC